TATATTATAAGGAATGTTGAGTCCAGCATGCATGGCCCTGTGCTTGAGCATTGATCTATAAACCAGGAGGTCATGGTTTTATTCCTGGTCAGGGCACATGCCCAGTTCATTTGCAGGCTGGATTCACAGAATAGATGTGCAGGAGGCAGCTGATCAAAGATTCATAACTGATGTTGCTCTCTTTCTTCCTCTCCCTTCCTCTTTGGAATTAATAAACACACACACACACACATAATTTTATAATTTTAAAGGACAGGTTTTATTTAGATAGTTATAAAGATGGAAGAAGTGAGCCTGGGAGAAACCAAGATGGCAGCATAGGGTAGACACCTGAATTCAGCCTACCACAACAAATTTGAATTTAGAACTGGAAAACAGGGGGAACACGCCCTGAAGCGCCGGATGGCTGGCTGAGAGGAAGCTCTACCATCTGGGAAGGAGAGAGAAGGCACGTTGAACCTCAGGAACTGTGAAGATGTGGAGAACTGCGTGTGCGCGAAAAGGCAGCCACACGACTTTGCTGCTGGTTTGCTTGAGGTGTATGGAGACGGGGGGCTGTCTTCTATCCCAGCTTACTCCTGGCGCGTGGAGAGGGCGGACAGCTAATGCGCGGCTAGCTTTCTTGTTTGGGAGGAAAACAGAACCACCCTATTGCTCTGATAGACGGCCCCAGACAGGGAGAGGCCAGAGTGTCAGGCAGTGGGCAAGATCTCTCGGAGGTGTGTGAAGCCAGCGGCCATTACTGCGGGACTCAGAAACCAGACCCTCATAGGGAGGGGCTGAATAAAGTTTGTTTGCACCACCCCGAGACTTCGCCCCATCCAAGCGGAACACAGAAGCCCTTCCAGTGGCTAGATTTCTCGTTCATTCGCTGCAAATAGGACTCTCCTAAGGGAGGGACAGACAGAAATCCAAAGCTTGTCTGCCCCTATACCAAAGAGGTGTGCATGCCTGCAACCAATCTTGGGGGTTCACCAAAGCTTTGCTGTGGCACCCGAAGACTCCGCCCTATTTAAATGGAATACAGAAACCCTCCTAGCTGAGACACTTCTGATCCTCATAGCCAACTGGCTTTAAAATCAACACTTCCCAGTGATACCAACAACAAGCAAGGCTTAACAACAAGACTGCACACACAGCCCACAAAGGGCTACACCAAGACTGTCCACCTCAGGTAACTGGGAGGCTGATCCATTGAACCATATAGGACACCTTAGCACACAAAGCCACCCTACCAACTCAGGGAAGCTGTGAAAATGCTGAGACAAGGAAACAGATCACAAACAAAAGAAATGGAGGACAAGAAGCAACTGGATATAGAGTTCAAAACCACGGTTTTAAGGTTTTTCAAGAATTTCCTAGAAAAGGCCGATAAAATAAACGAGACCTATGAGGATATGAAAAGGGATCAACTAGAAATAAAGAATATATATTGTCTGAAATAAAAAATATTATACAGAGTCCTAAAAACAGAATGGCAGATCACAAGAATCAAGTCAAAGATTCGGAACACAAAGAGCCAGAGGACACTCCTCCACAGAAGCAAGAAGATAAGAAAATCCAGAAAGTTGAAGATAGTGTAAGAAATCTCTGGGACAATTTCAAACAAACCAACATCAGAATTATGGGGGTCCCAGAAGATGAGAGAAAGCAAGATACCAAAAGAATACCAGAAGAAATAGTGACAGAAAACTTCCCCCAACTGGGGAAAGAAATAGACTTACAAGTCCAGGAAGTGCACAGAACCCCAAAGAAAAGGAACCCAAAGAGGACCACACCAAGACACATCATAATTAAAATTCCAAGAGCAAAAGACAAAGAGAGAATATTAAAAGTAGCAAGAGCAAAGCAGGTAGGAGCACCTATGCAATTGTCAGCTGATTTCTCAACAGAAACCCTGCAGGCCAGATGGGAATGGCAAGAAATATTCAAGGTGATGAATAGCAAGAACCTACAGCCAAAAATACTCTACCCAGCAAAGCTATCAGAATCAAAGGCCAGATAAAGAGCTTCACAAATAAAAATAAAAAAAAGCTAAAGGAGTTCATCACTGCCAAACCAGAATTATATGAATTGCTGAAAGGGGTTCTTTAGGAAGAGGAAGAAGATATAGATAAAAATTATGTTCAACAAATACTTAACTATCAACAAGTGAAACTAAAAGCCGAGGGAATTAAAAAATCTGATGAACAATATTAAATGTTGAATATAATAGAATCAGAGGTATGGAAGGGGAGTGGACTGATTATTCTCAGGGAAAAGGGGAGTGGGAGGTGCAGGAAGAGTCTAAACAAAAACACCTATGGATGAGGACGGTAGGAGGTAGGGAAAGGGCAGAGGGTGGGGTGGGAACCTGGTGGAGGGGAGCAATGGAGGGGGCAAAAATGAGGAACATTTGTAATAATATGAACAATAAAGATTTATTAAATAAAATTTAAAAAAGTGAGCCTGGCTCAGGAAACAAGTTACAGAAACAGAGGAATGGCCCTTGGAACTTAGGAACTTATACTTAATGAAGGAAGACAATGTTTTCCCCCTAAAATCAGAACAAGACAGGATGTCTGTTGTCATTCTTTATTCAACACTAAAGGCCTGGTGCACAAAATTTGTGCACGGAGAGGTGTGTCTCAACCCAGCCTGCACCCTCTCCAATTTGGGAAATCCCTCTCACAATCCAGAATTGCTGGCTCCCAACTACTCGCCTGCCTGCCTTCTTGATTGCCCCTTACTGCTTCGCCTGCCAACCTGATCACCTCCTAACCACTCCCCTGACAGCCCAATTGCCCCTAACTGCTCTTCCCGCAAGTCTGGTCACCCCTAACCGCCCTCCCCTGCAGGCTTGGTTACCTCTAAGTGCCCTCCCCTGCAGACCTAGTCCTCCCAACTGCTCTCCCTTGCAGGCCTGTGTCCCCCCCCAACTGCCTTTCCCTGCAGGCCCAGTCACCCCAAACTTCCCTCCTCTGCTATCGTGGTCACCCCTAACTGCTTTCCCCTGCAGCCTTGATCGCCTATAACTGCCCTCCCTTGCAGGCCTTGTCCCTCCCAACTGTCTTCTCCTGTTGGCCTGATCACCCACAACTGCCCTCCTTTGCAGACCTGGTCCCTCCCAATTACTCTCCCCTGCTGGCCATCTTGTGGTGGCCATCTTGTGTCCACATGGGGGCAGTCATCTTTGACCACATAGGGGCAGCCAGCTTGTGTGTTGAAATGATGGTCAATCTGCATATTACTCTTTTATTAGATAGAATAGAGGCCTGGTGCATGGGTGGGGGCCAGCTGGTTTGCCCTGAAGGGTGTCCTGGATCAGGGTGGGGGTTCCTTTGGGGATGTGGGACAGCCAGGCAAGGAGCCTGTGGTAGTTTGCAGGCTGGCCAATCTCTCTCCCCTCCCGCCCCACCCCCATTGACCCAAGTGGAGACCCTGGTATCTGGGGTTTATTTTATCTTCTATAATTGAAACTTTGTAGCCTTGAGTGGAGGCCTGGGCCCACCAGGAAGGGTGGAAAGCTTGGCTTCCTCCATTGCCAGGGGAAACCCAAGCCTCCTGCTCTCTCAGTAGCCACAGCCATCTTGGTTGGGTTAATTTACATACTCACTCTTGATTGGCTCATGGTGTGACTTGTGGGTATAGCGGAGATATGGTCACTTTGCATATTATTTTTATTATATAGTATTGTACTGGAGTTTTCAGCCATTAGAAATTAATATATAACCTAAAGTATGGAGGCATGTAACAGATTGACATGATTTGATGTAGGAGTGGGGGAGGAGGAGAGATAAACCAAAGAACTTATAGACTTATATGCATAGCCCATGGACAGGGGTAACAGTGTGGTGAAAATTTGGGGGGGGGGGGATTGAGGCTGGGTGGAGGGGAGAAAAAGGAAGCCTTAGTTGGTTTGGCTCAGTGGATAGAGCAGTCAGCCTCCAGACTGAAGGGTTCCGGGTTTGGTTACAGCCAAGGGCACAGCCTGGGTTGTGGGTGTGGTCCCTAGGAGGGAGTGTGAAGGAGGCTGCTGATCAATAATTATTTCTCATCATTGATGTTTCTCTTTTCCCTCTCCTCTCTGAAATCAATAAACTATATATTTTTTTAAATTACATATACTTATCACATTTGTCGATTGACTATAGAACTTGATGATGAATAGAATCTGATCCCAGCCCTTGGGATGTTGCTCAGTGGTTGAGCTTGGACCTATGAACTAGGTCACAGATCCCCAGTAGGGGATGTACAGGAGGCAGCGATCAATGATCCTCATCATTTATGTTTCTCTCTCCCCCTCTCCCTTCCTCTCTCTCTGAATCCAATAAAAATATATCTTCAAAAATAAAAAAATAATCTGATCCCATATTATTGCTACAAACTGGAAAAATTAACGGAATAAACAGTAAATTAAAGCCAAAATTAATGAGTTTAGGTTTAAAAACCTACTGGAAGATTCAAAATTATGCAAAAGGATTACTAGGTACCTACTGTGTGCCACGCACTAGAGATAGAGACATGCTTCTTTCTTAGAGGGGACAATTCCAGACACCCTTACCCCCCCCCAAAAAAAAAAAAAAAAAAAGTCTATGCTAGACTAAACACGTCTTTCTGACCTCTCAGCTCCTTAGCACTTACTATAACCCCCTAGTCCCGCTGTGTTAATTCTTTGGGCAGAGACTCCTAGGTTTGCGATAATTGCCGGTTCAGTACCCTCCTCTGGGATGACCTCTTTGGCGCTGCACCCTCAGGCTGGTCACCTGGGAGATAAGGAAGCTATTGGACGCGGAAACCGCGCAGGGGAGTGTTAGGAAGAAAGCGCGGCCTGAGCCCGGACCGCCTGGGAGGAACGTGAACGCGCCCCTCTCCAGCTCCGGGGGGAGGGAGCTTCCAGGCGGCTTCTCTGAGCAGGAGCGGAAGCCAGGCTTGGGCAGTCTGGAGGGTTGGGGTGTTTTTTAACTGACTGGCTCCATATCCAGTAGGGAACAAACCGTTTCCACCTGTTCTTCCCGTAGGACTCTCCAGCTCCTAGGAAATAAAGATCGCGTTCAAGGAAGCGTTGAGGCCGCCCGACTCCCCCTCTTCCCGCAGTAAAGATGGCGGCGCCCTGAAAGTACACGACCGGCAAACCGCTTCCGCGTTTCTCCTGCGCCCTTGTTCAAGATGGCGGACGAGGCCACCCGGCGTGTCGTGTCTGAGATCCCAGTGCTGAAGACGAACGCCGGACCTCGGGACCGGGAGCTGTGGGTGCAGCGCCTCAAGGAGGAATATCAGTCTCTCATCCGGGTGAGTGCGGCCCGGGAAGCGCTGTGGTGTCGCATGTGCTCGGAAATAGGCTCCGTGTGGAAGCCATTTCCGGTCCTAAAGTTGAACCCCCAAATTCACAGAAAGTGGAGAAACGCGGGTTAGGCGGGCGGGGAATGGGGAGCAGGCGGAAGAGCCTCGCGTGGGGAGCCGGAAGCGCGCGTCCTGCGGGGCTGCCTCGGAAGGTGGCGTGTCGCTCGGCTCCCGGGTCCGCCCTCCGGGGCTGAGGGGCGGCCCGGGCCCCGCGATCCTCCGCCCGCTCACTCCTGAGGGGCGAGCACGTTAGGGCCGAAAAGTCAAAACGTGGCCGTTGCAGAACCGCGGAGCCGAGCTCGGCGTCAGCGACCAGCCGGGGCAGCGAGTCCCCTGTCTGGGAGGAGCGCGGCGCCGGTCCCTCCGCCGGGCGGGGTTCGCTGGAAGCCCCGCTGTGCGCTCGTCTCTGGGGAGGGGTCCCGAAGCCCAATAAGGCGGGCCGAGCCGAGGTAGATGGGCACGGGTTATTACGGGCACGGGCAATTAAGACACATTAGCTCTGGCCGGTGTCGCTCAGTGGATGGAGCTCGGCCTGCGGACTGAAGGGTCTCGGGTTCCATTCCGGTCAAGGGCACATAACGAGTTGGGGCTGATCCCCAGTGGGGGGTGCAGGAGGCAGCCAGTCAATGATTCTCTGTCATCATTGATGTTTTTCTCCCTTCCTCTCTGAGATCAATTAAGAGACATTAAGTGGAGAAAGGGAGAGGGGGGCAGAGAAACTGCTAGAATGTTCTGAAGCAGGTGAGGTAGCTAATCCAGTGTGGGTTAGGGCAGGCTCCCTGGAAGAGGCGGTGCTTGAACTGAGACTTAACAGGTAAACACGAGTCAGCCCGAGTCAGCCCGACACGAGGCGAGGGTGGGAGGAGGGCTTTCACGGCAAAGGGGGCAGAAGACACAGGCATGGAAGCTAGCAGCGCCGTGATGTGTATAAGAAACACAACTAGTTCAGAGTTGCTACAGCATCAAATGTGTAGCATGGAGTGGTGGGCAAGGCTTGAGAGATAGGTCTGAGCACTCGAATTTTATCTTGGAGACTGGGATTCCTTTAAAAGATTTTCATTAAAGAATATTCTGGTCAGATTTGAATTTAGATCAATCATAGTAGCAATAGAGATGAAAATGGAATTGACAGGGATAAGATTGAAGGAGACAAGTTAGGAGTCTGTGATGAATCCAGGCAAAAGAAAGTTGATGCTCTAAAGTCTAAACTCTGCAGTTAGTTATAGTGAGAATAGAGGGGAGGGGTAGATTTGAAGAACATTCCGAAGGTAAAACCAGCAGGACATGTGAACTGTTGCTGGACTAAAGGAGAGGGAGAGTCAAGCATTATTCCAGCCCAGCTGGTGCGGCTCGGTGAGCATGGACCTATGAACCAGGAGGTCATGGCTGTATTCCTGGTCAGGGCATATGCCCAGGTTTCAGGCTTAATCCCCAGTGGGGTGCATGCAGAAGGCAGCCAATTGATGATTCTCTCTTATGATTGATATTTCTCTCTTTTTCTTCTCTCTTTCTCCTCTCTCCCTCCCTCCCCCTCCCTCCCCCTCTCTCTCTCTCTCTCTCTCTCTCTTCCTCCCTCCCTCTTCCCTCTTCCCTCTTCCTCTCCCTCTCCCTCTCCTTCTCCCTCTTCTTCTCCCTTCCTTCCTGAAATCAATAAAAAATATTTTTTTTTAAAAAAGGACAATTCCAGGTTTCTAGCTTAAGTGACAGTGAATGCTGATGTGGGGATCAGGTCAGAAGGAATAAAAGCAAAAGCTGAGCCTGAGGTACCTGTGAAACGAAGGCAGAAATATATAGTTGAAAACTAGAGTCTGAAGCTGGAGAAAACACTTGGATTAAAGATAAAGATTTGGAAGTCCATCAGCATGTGGGTGCTAATCAAAACCAGGGCCATATAATGTCCTCTAGGGAGGGAAGACCCCATTAAACAAGTTGTGGGCTGGGGGCAGAAACTGTCAGAAGTGAGAACTCAGGTGGTGTCACCAGATCTTTTTGCTAAAGTGAATAGATCCCAAGCATTCTCTGCTCTGGACAATTGTTAGTCCCCAGCTTACCAGTGTGACTTTGTTTTTGCTTATGTCAGGAAAACTGGGCAAATGTACTAAGAAAGAAAGTAGTCTCATAATTTTCTTTTGAGGGAAGGGGGACTGCCCTTGGCCTCAACTTCCGCCTCAAAGACCTAATTCTCTGCTTTTAGTATGTGGAGAACAACAAGAATGCAGACACTGATTGGTTCCGACTGGAGTCCAACAAGGAAGGGACTCGGTAGGCAGACCCTCTTGGGGGGGTATTGGGGTGGGAATCTTACATGGTTTTAGCATTTTAGTATCTCAAAGCTCACTGCTGGGCCATCCCTGCTTCATATTGGCTGTCCACTCACAAGCTCCATAGCTTCCCAAGTCCTATCCCATGAGTCTCCCAGGCTGTCACCTAAACCAAGAAGATGTCCCTGGAGTAAGAGAAGAATGGTCAAATTGGACTGAGGTTTGGTCTTTGTTATAGGTGGTTTGGAAAATGCTGGTACATCCATGATCTCCTCAAATATGAGTTTGACATCGAGTTTGAAGTGAGTATGATGGTATGGGAAATATGGAGGTTAACAAGCTAACTTTTCTTGAAAGGACCAAAGAAAATTTCCAATGGGAGGGAAAAACTGAGATTTGAAGCAAGCATAAGTTATTTACTCATCTGCAAATCCAGAATTCTGGTTTGCACATGCTGCTTGGGAGTTTGCCAAACATGTCAGTTCACCTGAGAAATGTATGTGAGGTAACAATAGTTTCTGTATATGCTGATTCTCCTTTATAATTCCTCTAGATTCCTATCACATATCCCACTACTGCGCCAGAAATTGCAGTCCCTGAACTGGATGGAAAAACAGCCAAGATGTACAGGTAGGACTGAATAGGAGATGGGAAAGGGTCAAAAACGGGCTTGGGGGGAACTTGGGGAGGCGGCATTTTCCCAGAGCCTGCTGGCCTAGGGGGGCTCTAGGCCGCCCTCTGCCAAGCCTACGCACTGCACTCAGCTGACCTTGTTCCAAATTGGATCACTGGTAGCCTTGTGCTCCCAAGAGGCTGCTATGTTTCATGGTAAACCTTGCATGTCAACACCTTCTTCCCTCTGTCCCTCTCATAGAGGTGGCAAAATATGTCTGACTGATCACTTTAAGCCTTTGTGGGCCAGGAACGTGCCCAAGTTTGGACTGGCTCATCTTATGGCTCTGGGGGTAAGTTTGAGTTATTTGCTTCTCCCTCCCTCTCCCGTCCCCTCTCTTCCTCTCTCGCTCTAAAAAATCAATAGAAATATAAAAAGGAAAAGTAACTGAGAATAAACAAGGAATAGCAATGTTTTCCCTTGGGTGTGCTCCCCTAGAATCTCTCTAGGAAGGAGCTTCTGATAGAACAAGATGCACTGCCTCGGTGGCAGTAAGCTCACAAGTCTCCCTTGTATTACAGCTGGGTCCCTGGCTGGCAGTGGAAATCCCCGATCTGATTCAGAAAGGTGTTATTCAGCATAAAGAGAAGTGCATCTGAAGGATCAAGCCACTGATGCTGGACAGGGGACCTTTGAGAGGCTACGATCCTTTTTCCTGTGTGTCCCTTACTCATCCAGTGCTTCCCTCACACTCTTTCACCCACAACTGTTAAGTAGCTGCAGCAGGCATTGCTGAAAAAACCAACAAACAGTATTGCTCTGAATGTCTAGCAGGGAGGGGGAAGCCTGGGGCTTTGGAATACCAAAAGGCCACTTATGACCCCTCCCCAGGGGGAGCAATGTGAGGTCCTGAAGGACAGCAGGTGACAGAAAGTGGGTACATGGTCTTTTGATTTTCGGAGATAACTCATCAATAAAAGCTGCTTCCTCCGTGGCCTGTGGTTCTCATTGGTGGCTCTTCACAGCAGCCAGCCTTCCCCACCCGCAGAGACCTTCCCATGCCTGCCGCTGAACCCTCCCTGCGCCTCCGGGCCACGCTCCCGTTGTCTGTGGGCCACAGAATGAGGTGACGGGACCCCATACTTCAGGGACGTGGATGGCAGTGACGGTGTAAAGACAATTCTGGGCAAGGCTGGCAACCGGCTCCTCAAGTTGGCTGCGTTGCCATGGTGTCGGGGGGCGGGGTCGCGCAAGCGCTGAGGAAGCAGGCGCGGAGTGCGGCTGCGCCGGCGCCGTGAGCGACGCTGAAGCCGGTGGCGGCGGGACCAACAAAGATGGCGGCGGCCCGGGCGACGGTAGCGACCTGGGCGGCAGCTGCGCCTGAAGTTGCAGCTGGGCCTGCGGGGGTGCTGCGCAGGGGTCGGGGGGGGCAGCCCTGAGCTGGGGCTTGGCCCCGGCGGGGCTCCCCCGCCGCACCCCGGGGACAGGTACGGGCCGCGGCGTTACGGCCGGTGGGGGTGGGGGGGTGCCCCGGACCTGGGAGGACGCCTCCACCGCAGGGGACGGCGAGCCTGGGAGGACGGGCTGCAGGGGCCGTGTCCAGGGCCGTGGGGGATACAGTGCCGGGCTCCGGAGCCAATCACGGCCTCGGCCTTCCTGCCCTCAAGGGGGGTGGACCCGTGAAGCCCTGCCGCCGGGCGAGCCGGGCGACCCGGGGTCCGGAAGGCCTGCCCGCCCGCCTTCCGTCGCGACCCCTGAGCTGACACCACGTTGGAGCTCGAGGGTGGGGGAGGGAGGGCGTCGCAAGTCACCATTGAGTTGGGAGGGGCAGGGGCTGAGGGTGGGAAGCTGTGTTCCGGGCTGTTGTCCTTGCACCCACCCCATTGGCCCGAGCGCCCAAGGGGCCGGGCACCTCCCGCCTGCCTCCGCGGTGTGAGGCTTGTCAGCCGCAGGTGCAGTGATCCCAGGGAGAGGGCTACCGCAGCCTCAGGAAAGCTGTTTCTGCAGGAAGCTAGTGAGGAATGGAGTCAAAGCCGTGGGCTGCTGTCACCATTCATTTATACTCAATGAATACAGCCACACTCACTTCTCCGACGCCTCCCCTCTCCAACAGTTTGGTTCTCAACCAAGTTGTCACAGAAAAAAGTCTGGGTTGTCGACCAAAAACTTGTTTTGGACCTGACAACCCTTTCATGCTGATACTGCTACCTGACAAAAAGCATCTCTCAGGCAGCAAAGGAAAGAATGCTTTTGTGACTAGCACATTTTTAAAACAGAAAGTGCTAATGTTGCTAAGGGTGTGAAAATGCTCATAATAACAATCACAGGCAATTGAAAGATTTGTATAAAAGAAAAGCAGTTAGACAGTGGTAGCACTTTAGAGGCAGTGATATATGAAAAATTTGTTTAAGGCTAATAGAGGGTGTTTTGATAAATTTAAGAAAAGAAGTGCTTATTTATAGATTAGACATGTACTGTATATACTAGAAGAAAGGTTAAAACATAATCATTTGGGGGTTTGGAGCGGGTTAATTCAATTTACATTCTTTCTGATGGGAACAAATGATTCGGTTTTCTAAAAAATCACTTCTCCAACAGCTTTCCAGAGGAATTAAGTTCAAGAACTGAGGTTCCAGTGTGCCGTATAGTGGCTGGGGGAAGGGGCACTGCAACTCTCTATGCATTTACTTTATGAGGTACTGAGATACAATGACTGATAGGACAACTCGCTTCCGCCCTCAGCGCACCTAGAAGCTTGTATGTATGGTAGCTTAGGTTCCCCCTCCGTCCATATTCATATGCTGCCCCTCTCTTCTCCCAGGTCCTATCTGTGGTGACCACAATGCCCCAGGCCTCTGAGCACCGTCTGGGCCGGACCCGAGAGCCATCTGTCAATGTCCAGCCCCGAGTGGGATCCAAACTACCATTTTCCCCCCGGGCTCGCAGTAAGGAGCGTCGAAACCCAGTCCCTGGGCCGAACCCCATGTTACGGCCTCTGCCTCCCCGGCCAGGTCCACCTGAGGAACGGCTCAAGAAACTGGAGCTGGGACGGACACGGACCTCAGGCCCTCGTCCCAGAGGCCCCCTTCGGGCAGATCATGGAGTTCCCCTGCCTGGCTCACCACCCCCAGCTGTGGCTCTGCCTCTCCCAACCAGGACCAACCTAGCCCGGTCCAAGTCTGTGAGCAGTGGGGACTTGCGTCCAATGGGGATTGCCTTGGGAGGGCATCGAGGCGCTGGAGAGCTAGGGGCTGCATTGAGCCGCTTGGCGCTCCGGCCTGAGCCACCCACTTTGAGACGTAGCACCTCTCTCCGCCGCCTCGGGGGCTTTCCTGGACCCCCCACCTTGCTCAGCATACGGACAGAGCCCCCTACCTCCCATGGCACTTTCCGCGTGATATCTGCCCGACCCTCCAAGCCTTTCTACTCCGATGACAAGATGGTGAGGATTTGTCAGCACATGTGGCCTTCCATTCCCATGTCCCTCCAGCTTTCTTGCCATCATAATCACATGGCTTTCCTACCCCCCTGTCCCAAGTTCCTTTCTTAGCCCCTCATTGCAGCATTTGGACTGTACTCTCCCTTCCTTATCTTTTGGGGTTGTCTGTCACTCCCCCACATGGTGCACAACTTCAGTCCCCAGGGATTTATCCCAGCCATTTGGCATTCCCTGTAGGTACCCCAGGCCCCTGTCTCCCTTGCCTTCTCTCCTAGGACACTGCCTAGGCCTAATTAATCTCTGAAGGTGAGGAGGGGCGGGCTCAGGAATCTGAGCTAGTGTGGTCGCCCATTTCTTGAGCAAGGCTGATTGCATTTGAAGCCATCAGGAAAGGGTTCAGGAAGGGCCATGGGGGCAGGAGGGGACTTTGGACACAACAAGGTGGGGGTGGGGAGCAGCTGGGCAACCATGCCAGTGCTTGGGCAGTTGCCCTGGGAGCTACTTTGCCAATTAGCTGGGCAGAGGAACAAGTGGAGAACAGTGGGACTGGCATGGCTCAGCCTATGGTGCACACACCTGTGATGGGCTTACTGTTCATGTCCAGTGAGGTAGGGAGGCCCTCATACCCAGAGGGAAAGAGGGTAGAGTGTGGGGTGAGGTATTAGAGGGGGGTAAAAGCAATGGGCAGCTAAAAGCAACATGCCGTTGAAAGGTTAGAGGGTCACGTGGGCTATGTGGAAACCTGACTCACTCTGATCTTCCAGGCTCATCACACACTGCTTCTGGGCTCTGGTCATGTTGGCCTCCGAAATCTGGGGAACACGGTGAGAGCCATTCTCCTGCCCGTCCTCCCTCACAGAAATGGGGAGCGTGCAGGGCGGGACGTGCTGGCTGGGGGGAGGGGCACTGCAACTCTAGGTTCCCTGGGCCTGGTCTGGAGAGATAATGGCAGTGTCTCTGCTGCTCCCTAGTGCTTCCTGAACGCCGTGCTGCAGTGTTTGAGCAGCACTCGGCCTCTCCGGGACTTCTGCCTGCGAAGGGACTTCCGGCAAGAGGTGCCTGGAGGGGGCCGAGCCCAAGAGCTCACTGAAGGTGGGGCTATAACTCCTGTCCCCGTGCCTTTCACATCCTCTTCCCCCCAACCCCCTGCAGGTCCAACTGCCAATGCCGCCCCAGCCTCCATTCTGCCAGTGGTATCTTCCTGGTACCACTGTGTAAAGGCTGTTCTGCCTCAGCCTCCTGCTTGCCTCTTCTAACCTGTGTCTCCCTTCCCCACTCCCTCCCAATAGCCTTTGCAGATGTGATTGGGGCCCTGTGGCACCCTGACTCTTGTGAAGCAGTAAATCCTACTCGATTCCGAGCTGTCTTCCAGAAATACGTGCCCTCCTTCTCTGGATACAGGTGGGAGAGCTGGAGGGTGTGGGAGTTCTCTCTGGCCGTGTCTGGGGATAGGACCAAGCAGGGGTCCTGGCAGCATTGTCCTGAGCCTTGAGGTGTTCTTAATCCAGGAAGTGGGAACCGTGTGGGCAGGGGACAGTGTCTGTGGACGAGGGGATCAGTTGCTCATACTCTTTGGCTGTAGCCAGCAGGATGCCCAGGAGTTTCTGAAGCTCCTCATGGAGCGGCTACACCTTGAAATCAACCGACGGGGCCGCCGGGCTCCCCCAGTCCTGGCCAGTAGTCCGGCTCCCTCTCCACCCCTCTGTGGAGGGACTCTGCTAGAAGAACCTGACTTAAGGTAGGATTGCTCCCACACCCTTTTCTCCCCAGTAGTTTACCGGTAGCGCACTTCCTTCACAGAACAGAGCTAGTCAAGGCTGAGGTGTAGGGTCCAGGAAAACGCATGGCCTAGAAATGGGTTAGGAGCAGTGCAGAGCGGGAGGCTGGAGCGAACGGAGGCAGAGCAGTGCTGGGATGTCCCCATGGAGGAGGAGGGAGAGGTACTTTACAACAAGGCACTAAAGAGCCTGAAGCGGGGGAAGGAGACAGCATGTTCTTTTTTGTCTGCATCCCTTTACTTTCCTCTCCTCTTGGCTTTCCCCAGAAAGTCCTCGGAAGCCTTAGTCCCCCCCTCTTCCTTGAAATGTAGAGAAGTGGAGGTATGGGTAGGGCACAGGGCTCTGGATCGTTTCAGGGGTGTCTGGGCGCCCACTTTTCCTGCTCTCAGGGGTGCTTCCCATTTCCCTTCTGTGGTAGTGACAATGACCGGGCCAACCTAATGTGGAAGCGTTACCTGGAGCGAGAGGACAGCAAGATTGTGGGTATGGAACAGGGCACAGCAACAGGGAAATAAGTCCGCGAGGGGGTGGGGAACCTGGAAGCTGGGAGAAAGAACATGATACAAGCAAGGGCTGTGGGAACAAGCTGGGTGATAAAAACATGGGAAAGGGGTGAGGGGCTTGTTAGGAGTGTTGGTGATGGGGAAGGAAGGTCAGGCAAAGGGATGGAAAGAGAAGAATCCTAGCAAGCACCTTGGCCTCTCCCAGTGACTTTCTCCTGCCTCTGCTTGTCTAGACCTGTTTGTGGGCCAGTTGAAAAGTTGTCTCAAGTGCCAGGCCTGTGGGTATCGCTCCACGACCTTCGAGGTTTTTTGTGACCTGTCCCTGCCCATCCCTAAGGTGGGATTTCAGAGGATTCCAGGGGTGGATGGGACATGGGTTTGGAGGCCCAATCCTAGCTGCCCCCAGAGTTGGGGGGAGCCCTTCGGGTCTGTGGAGGAGACATGAAGCCTGGATTGGTTAAGAAGAGTTGGAAAAGGGAATGCAGAACATGCTGTCCCTTCATTCCCCTTTCCCTCCAGAAAGGATTTGCTGGGGGCAAAGTGTCTCTGCGGGACTGCTTCAACCTCTTCACCAAGGAAGAAGAGCTAGAGTCGGAAAATGCCCCAGTATGTGGGGTTCAAACGGGATGTGGTAACATTGGGGACTGGGGGGGGGGGGGTGTTCCATATGGGATACAGGGGTTGCATGATACCTTACTATGGGGAATAATGTGTGTATGTCTGGATTTCTGTTGGTCTCAGGTAAGTCCTAGTGCTTGGGGCAAAGAGGGGCCCAGAGGATACAGAATTAACGGGAGGAGTAAATTTTATGTGGCCAGAGTGTCGGAAAAGCCACTCGAGGTGAGGAGCATAACAATCTAACGTTATTTGATATTTATTCAGGTGTGTGACCGATGTCAGCAGAAAACCCGAAGTACCAAAAAGTTGACAGTACAGAGATTCCCCCGAATCCTCGTACTTCGTATCCTAATCTTCATATTCTATTTCTTTCATCCATTCTTTTTCTCATTCCCCATGTTTGCAGAGGCTGGATACTTGGCAATTGAATTTCCTTAGGAAAACACCATGCCTGCCATGCTCCCGGTATTCCTTGGGGGAGGGGAGTGGACAGCATTCAAGAGCTCAGTCCCCTCGGAGCCCCCACCCCCATCCCCTCTCACTGCTCCTTAACCAGAGCTTAGATCTGAATCGCTTTTCCGCCTCCCGAGGCTCCATCAAGAAAAGCTCCGTGGGTGTGGACTTCCCGCTGCAGCGCCTGAGTCTGGGGGACTTTGCCAGCGACCAAGCCGGTGAGTGCTGGGAAGGCCCTGGGAAGGCCAGAAGGGGGCGCGGGCGCCAGCCGGCGGCGAGCAGCTCCCCCGGCCTCTGCCTCCGCAGGAAGCCCAGTCTACCAGCTGTACGCCCTGTGCAACCACTCGGGCAGCGTCCACTACGGCCACTACACCGCCCTGTGCCGCTGCCAGACGGGCTGGCACGTCTACAACGACTCTCGGTGAGACAGCCTCCTGGTCCCCTCCGGGCTGTTCCCTCCTGTGCGGCCGGAGGTCTGCATCCCTTCCCTCCCGAGGCCGAGGGCGGCCCTGTGGCCAGAAGGACGTGCGGGAATGAGAGCCCTCCCGCCCCCTTCCCCAGGGTCTCTCCGGTCAGCGAGAACCAGGTGGCGTCCAGCGAGGGCTACGTGCTCTTCTACCAGCTGGCACCGGAGCCGCCCCGCTGCCTGTGAAGCCGTCACCCCAAGCCCAGCTCCCCTTACCTCACAGACGTCTATTTTTGTGTCTTTTTCATGGGGAGGCGGAGGGTGACTGTAGCTCCCTTTTTTTTTTTTAATTAAAAAGTACCCTTCCACCTGGAGGGCCCCTTGTGTCCCAGCCCCCTGTACAGAGCTCCCAGGCCCCGCCCGTGTACAGCCCCGGACTACAATCTCACTTTTTGTGAATAAATTTACTAAGAAAAGAGGATGTCCTTGTTTGTACTTTCGCGGGGCAGGATCTTCGTGGGCGCGTGGGGCCCAAAGAGGGAAGGCAAACCTGAGACTGGTACGGGCGAAGGGGCGGCCCCTCGAGGCCCCAGCCCCCCGCACCCGGGGTGACAAACGCGGGGTGCGTTGCCCGGGGCCCTCGCTCTCGCAGGCCCGGCTGCCGCTACAGTCAGGAGCTGTTTACCGAGCCGCGTCCCCGGGCCCCGCGCCCCAAGCCACTTCCCGCAGCGCAGGTGCGCGGGGCCGCCTCCGGGCTCCTCCGCAGCCCGACCTCGCGCTGCCCCGCCCGCTCCGCTCGGGGGCCGGCGCCGGCGCTGCCCAGCGGGGTTTCCATTGGCCAACGTCACCCCTCGGCCGCCAATGGGAAGCGGGCTGCTGCGCAGGCGCGACCTTCAGAGCCGGGCCGTGGGGGCGGGGCGCTGGGGGGCCGCGCCGGGTGCGACCCGCGCTGAGTGGAGCGCGCCGATAGCACGGGTGTGGCCGTCTCTTCCCGCGGGGCATGGGCGGGAAGCCTCTGGCCTGCACCCCCGGGGCTCCCTCACTTCCTCTCGTGCGTCTCTTGGGTGAGTCTGTGCCCCAAACGGGGCCTCGCGCTCCCACCACCGCGTCCGCGGACCCTGCCTCAGTTTCCCGCAAAGCAGTGGCCGGGGCGGGGAGCGCGGTCCGACGCTGCAGAGAGGGAGCCGGTCAGCCCTCCGTGCCGCCCTTCTCCTCAGCTCCCGATGGGCCGGACCGTGGTCGTGCTGGGCGGAGGCATCAGCGGCTTGGCCGCCAGCTACCACCTGAGCCGCGCCCCCACAGCTCCCAAGGTGAGCTCCCCGCGCGGAGGCAGCCCCTGATCCCCTGGTCCCTGGCCGGCCCACCCCCTTCCCCCGGCGTCGGAGGCCGCGGCCACAGTGCCAGTCCCGCTCCAGGTGGTGCTGGTGGAGGGCGGCGAGCGCCTGGGAGGCTGGATCCGCTCCGTGCGAGGGCCCGGCGGCGCCGTCTTCGAACTCGGGCCCCGAGGAATTCGGCCCGCGGGGGCGCGGGGAGCCCGGACTCTGCTCCTGGTGAGGCTGTGGGGTGCCCGGAGAAGAGGGGTCCTCCAGAGGGCAGGGGGGATGCCTATCTGGTGGTCGGTTCTTCGTTTCTCCCCCCGGGGACGTTCGAGGAGCAGGTGTCTGAGCTGGGCTTGGCCTCAGAAGTGCTACCTGTCCGAGGAGACCACCCGGCTGCCCGCAACCGGTTCCTGTACGCGGGCGGGGCCCTGCACGCGCTGCCCGCCGGCCTCAGGTGACGCCCGCCGCCGCCCCCAGCGGATGGGAGTGAGCGCCCTCCCTGCCCCTCACCGCCGTGCCTCCCGCAGGGGGCTGCTCCGCCCGTCGCCTCCCTTCTCCAAGCCTCTGCTTTGGGCCGGGCTGAGGGACCTGACCGCCCCGCAGAGCAGAGACCCTGATGAGACTGTGCACAGCTTTGCCGAGCGCCGCCTGGGACCGGAGGTGCCGCTGCCCAGAGGCCTGCCCGCCCCCCATGTCCCTGGGAGTGTCCTTTGTCATTTCAAACTCAACTTTGGAGGGCGGGTGCCTCCAGGACCCTCTCCCCCTTCTGATGGTGGGCTGCTTCGGAGCCCAAGCCCGGCTGCCCCGGGACAGCTCAGCAGGACAGTGAAAACCAGGGCGCCGACCCCTGGCCGCTCAGTGCCCTCTCACCGCAGGTGGCTGCTCTGGCCGCGGACAGTCTCTGCCGCGGAGTGTTCGCAGGCAGCAGCCAGGAGCTCAGCGTGCGGTCCTGCTTTCCCAGCCTCTTTCAAGCCGAGCAAGCCCATCGCTCCGTGTTACTGGGGCTGCTGCTGGGGACAGGTGAGGGGCGAGGCTCGCGGGCTGGAGGCCGGAAGGGCTGTCATGCTGCTTCTCTCCTTCCTCTCCTTCCTCTCCTCTGCAGGGCAGAGCTCACAGCCAGACTCGGCACTCATTCGCCAGGCCCGAGCTGAACGCTGGAGCCAGTGGTCACTCCGAGGAGGGCTGGAGATGCTGCCCCAGGCACTTACTACCCACCTGACCGAGAGGGGGGTCACTGTTCTCAGAGGCCATCCGGCCTGTGGGCTCAGCCTCCAGGCGGGACGCTGGAAGGTAGGAGTGCCCCGTGGAGTGCAATGAGCCTGTGTGGTAGTTTCCATCTTTGCCTAAACGTTCTGTTGTGTTTTTTAAGCTTACTTTCATTTATTGATTTTAGAGGAGGGGTGGAGAGAAACATCGATTAGTTGTTCCTCTTATTTATGCATTCATTTGTTGGTTCTTGTATGTGCTGTGACCCAGGATGGAGCCCACAACTTGACACATGGGGACGATGCTCGAACCAAAAGAGCTACCTGGCCAGGGCTTGCCTAAATGTTTTAACCAAGCCCGGGCTGGCAGACTGGAGCTGCTCGTTTCCTGCCCTAGAAGCTGTTTAAATGTGGGCCTTATTTGTGGACCTTCCTCCGAGACCCTTTGTTCCAAGTCTGTGGGTAGACAGCTCCACTGAACAGCTCAGCATGGACACACTGGCTGTCTGGCCCCCCTCCCTGACTAAGGGGGTGATTTCTGTGCCAACTACCAAGCTCTCCTGCCACGTGTGCACCCAGGAAGCTGAGGCAAAATTCCCATGTTTCAAATGTGCTCCTACTCAGGTGTCTCTGGGGGACAGCTGCCTGGAGGCCGACCACGTGATTAGTGCTCTTCCAGCTTCAGGTAGCCACCTCCCTTCCCCACCCAGGGTGAGGCAGGCTGTGGTTTCTGGGCCAGTAGGACCATACCATGTGCCAATTGCGCATCCTGGGGAAGGCTAGTCCCAAGAAGGGTGGGTGGAATTGTGAGGGAAGGCCTTCTGAGCAGCCTCTGCCGGCTCCCCTAGTGCTCAGCAAGCTGCTCCCCGCCGAGGCCGCACCTCTCGCGCGCGTCCTGGGCACCATCCGGGCTGTGTCTGTGGCCGTGGTGAACCTGCAGTACCAAGGAGCCCAGCTGCCAGTGCAGGTGTGACACGGGAAGGGGAGGCGAGGGCCCCGTGGAGTCCTCCCCCTGACCACCTCCTTCCTCAGGGATTTGGACATCTGGTGCCGTCCTCAGAAGATCCAGGCGTCCTGGGGATTGTGTACGACTCGGTTGCCTTTCCCGAGCAGGACGGGAGCCCCCCTGGCCTCAGAGTGACTGTGAGGAAGCAGCTTTGCTTAGTTGGGTGTCCAGAGGGCTCCTGTGTGCCCAGTGAGGTCAGGACTCCCTTCTCTCCCAGGTGATGCTGGGAGGTTCCTGGTTACAGGCGCTGGAGGCCAGGGGCTGTGCCTTTTCTCAGGAGCTGTTCCAGCAGCAGGCACAGGAAGCAGCTGCCACACAGTTAGGACTGAAAGAGCCCCCGAGTCACTGTCTGGTCCATCTGCACAGGGTGAGCGGACAGTGCCCTCAGCTCCCACTGGAGGCATCAAAGGCAGGACCTGGCGTTTCTGTCAATGTCCACCAAGGCTTGTGACGTCAGAAATAAACTTTTATCTCCTCCTCTCTGCAGCACTGCATCCCCCAGTATACACTCGGCCACTGGAGGAAACTGGGTGAGTTGGGGACCAGCTGGGCTGAGGGGAGCCAGGAGCTCCGGCCCGCTGATGCTCCTTGTCCTCTGCAGAGTCAGCTGCCCACTTCCTGGCTATTCACCGGCTGCCCCTGACCCTGGCTGGAGCCTCCTATGACGGAGTGGCTGTCAATGACTGTATAGAGAGTGGGCGCCAGGCAGCAGCCCGGGCCCTGGGCTTAGAACTTGACCCATGATCTCCACACCTCACCTTGCTGTCCCTGCTGGTTGGGACTCACCGGGAAAATAAAAGTTGTGGGAGATTGGCTCGGTCTGATGTCCTGTCATGGGCATGGGGAAGAAGGAGGTGCAGAGACAGGCAAAGGGTGCCTGAGGTGCAGAAAGCAGGAGCAAAGGCGAGACCGAGTCCTTTATTAGAAAATATATCAAAATCCAGCCCCCTGAGCCAGAGCCAGAGCCAGAAGGGGGGCTGCTCCAGCCCTGGCAGAAAGTGTCCAGGGAAGGGCTCACATCCTGGGGACCATAAATAGAATAAATATTCACAGAGGTCCCGGAGAAGCTGGGGCACTCTTCTCTCCATGGAAGAGGAAGGGACTTGGGGTCCAGCCCTGCTCCCATTGCAGGAGCAGCGCTCCCAGGAGTCACCACATACAATCATGACATCAGAGATTCACAGTCATAATCCTGGCAGGCGCCCTACAAAGGGCCCCCAGGTCTAGAGGAGCCCAACTCCAGTCCAGCAGGGAGAGGCCCCGGCCCAGCACAGCATAAGTGGTGCCTAGTCCTCTGAGAGCAGTGGGGAGCTGAGGGAGGGAGAACAGACCCCTCTGGATCAGTTTCATGACTAAAGGTAGGCAGGAAGGAGGCGTCAGTGTGGGCCGTGTGGGGCTGTGTGGTTGGCAGTAGGCAGAGGGCCCAGCCTGGCTGGCGGCCTGCGCTGCAGCATCTCTTGGCGGAATGCCTGGGAGGAGCCAGGTGGGTAACGGGGGCCAGAGGGAATCCGGGGACCCCGGGGGTCAGTTCCAATGTCTGCTGTGACATTGGTATAGAGAGGGCCCAACTCTCGAGCCAGCAATCGGTATGTCAGTGAATTCATCCCATCTTGTGTCCAGGAATTCTGGGTACGGATCAGGAGGTCAAATCTGAGGGTTAGAGGTTAGAGACTAAGACCCAGGAAGAACAGCCAGGAATCGAGGGGCCTGTGGGGGTTCTCTGACTCAAATACAGAACCGGAGGGCCCCGACCCACTGCTCAGCAGCCCCTCTGCCTACCTGTGTGGGTTTTCCTCGTTGCCCTTGTCCCCTCGGTGCTTCACCATCTTATAGTGTCCCACAGACGTGGGGGGGCGAGAGATCTTCATGCCAGCCAGCCGTACCCTGTGGGAAGAGGGAGGGATCTTGGCGGGAACAGCTGGGGTGCACAAGGGGAGCCCGGGCCAGCAGGAAGGGAACACTACTGAAGTTAGGCAGAGAGCGGACTGTTTCTCGTTAGTGTCAGACTGGCAGGGAGAGAGTCAAATGGGAAGGAGGAGATGGCTGAAGAGAACACAAGCCCTCAGGGCCTTGCACCCTTGCCCTGGGCCTTTCGGAATCTGGCCGCTCTGTCAACACCTCCCTGCTTGCTCCCTAACGGTCCGGGAGATGCTCTCCGGCGGGAAGGGCATGCTGAGCAGCCTCTATGTCTGACGTGCAGGACAAGTCGGAGTTGGAGGTCAAGCTCAGCAATTCTTCCTTAGAAGACAGGCTGAGCTGCTCGGCCTCCTTTGCCCTGCCCCCTCCAATGTGCAAGGTGGAACCAAGACCTGAACAGAGCCCAGCCCCACCTCTAACACAGGAGCAGGACGCGGAGGGGGCCTGGGAAGCACACATTTAGAAACTGCTGGGCACTTCACACTTAACAAGAATTCAGAGATGCCATTCAGGACTCCAGGGCGAGGAGGCAATGGATCCGTATATCAAAGCCCAAATGCTCAAATCACAGGTAGGAAATTGGGTCAGCTGAGACTGAAGGTCACATGTTCCACAGAAACAGAGTGATTCTTGGTCCTGAGTGCCTCCTCCCGTGGCCACACAGGAAGTGGCCCCTTTCTGCTCGGGGGGTCCCAGAATACTGCCACCTGTTGATCTAGGAGGCTGAGGGTGACAGTGGGGGAAGGGAGGGCAGAAGACAGGAGAGGCATGGCACAATGCAGGTTTTGGGTGCAAAGGTTAGTGCTAACGGGCTACAGCCAGGGGGGCCTCAGAGGGCGGGGATGCAGGCTGGGGAAAGGCAGGGCTGACCTGGCAGCAATGTCATCATCCTCACCACCCCAGCCCCAGTATTCGTTAGGGAAGCCGTTCATCTTCAGGTACTGGTCGGGAGTGAGCGCTGAGACCCCTCCAAAGTACTGGGGGTATGGGAGGCTGGGGAGAGAAAGATCCTTGGGTTCCACAGGTCTTCTGGTATACATCCCTACCACAATCCCCCCGTTCGCCTGCTTCCCAGCATCTAAGGCCTCTACCTGTATCCAAACTTGTTCATGGCGACAGCCACGTGCCGGGGCCCACGGGGATCGCACACGTACAGATTGTGGTCGTTCTCTGGCAGGAGGTCCACGTCGTGCAGGAACAGGCAGTCCCACTCCTCGTCACGCAGGGCCTCCCGGACCCCCACGTTCAGCAGCTTTGCCCGGTTAAAAGTTCCGTTTCCAGCCTGAAAGAGTGCGGAGGGCCTGACTGTCGGAGGCATGGAGAGGCACTGAAGCATAAAAGTAAAAAGAGGGCCCTAGCCGAAACCGGTTTGGCTCAGTGGATAGAGCGTTGGCTGCAGACTGAAGGGTCCCGGGTTCGATTCCGGTCAAGGGCATGTACCTTGGTTGCGGGCACATCCCCAGTTAGGGGGTGTGCAGGAGGCAGCTGGTCGATGACTCTCTCTCATTGATGTTTCTAACTATCTCTTTCCCTTCCTCTCTGTAAAAAATCAATAATGTGTGTGTGTGTGTGTGTATATATATATATATATATATATATATATATATATATATATTTTTTTTTTTTTTTTTTTTTTTTTTTAAAGAGAGAAATCAAAGTAGGATGGGGGGCAAAGAGAATGAAAAGAAAGACGATCTAAAAATTTCACTCAACAAAAAGTATTTTGAGCAACAGTGTGTGCCTGATACTTACATGCTGCTGTTAGCATTAAATCTGACAACCAGCAACCATGTGACTGGGTGTCTTATCAGTCACCCCTCATCTCGTTGCAGGAGGTTAAGTGTCTTGCTTATGGTCACATATGGAACAAATGGCAGAACTAAAACTTTAGCCCAAATCTGTCCAATTCCAAATTGGCACAATTCAAAACGTAACAAAGGAAAGTCCTGGCAGTGTGTGGGACCAGGAACACCCGGCAGCGAGCAAGAAGAATGGCCAGAGCATGGCCAGCAGAGCCAGGGATTTCCCACTTTCACCAGCCAAACCCTCTAAAGGTCCTCGGGACCACTATGCGAGGGGAGCGGCACTGACGTGAGGCTTCCGTGGGGGAGGGCACCTGGTGGATGACGTAGATGCCGTAAGCAAGCTGCTGGCGCTGCAGGAAGGGGTGCAGGTGGTAGAGCAGCAGGCGCAGGTGGTGCTCCCGGCCCCGGTGCGGCACAATGACAGCTGTCCGGGAGCGGGGTTCACACCCTGCGGGGCGGTACCGGCCCCCTGCTTCCACCCGGGGGTTCCTCTCCACAATCTCTGCCAGCGAGGGCACTGGGTTGAAGGACACAGACACGGGACCCACTGTTGGAGGAAATGACAGTCACGGGTTAGAGGATCAGAGGGCAAAGGAGGACACCGGAGATCAGGACCACCTTTGCCCCTGGCACTCTGGTCTGTGGCTCCACAACCCCGGAGGACTCACGCAGAACACACACAAGCCTGAGCTCCCATCGCTGGGACAGCTTCGCCACACCTGGAAGGAGCAGGCTCCTGGCGGAGCCTACCTTCTCAGTGTAGGTCTCATGACTCCTTCACAGGGGTGGAAGCTGCCATTATGGGTGGGAGAGAACAGATGGGCTTCCAACCAGTGACCTACATCAGGGCGCATCCACAAAGGAGGCACTTCCTAACCGGAGGCAGGAAGAGGCCTGTCCGAGAGCAGGCCACAGAAAGCTCTGACTCAACTCCAGAGCCCAATCCAAACTCCAAATCAAGTCCATCTCAACCTCAGCCCACTTTCCAAAGACATCAGCCTCCTGTTCTAAGTCTCCCTCTTGACCCTCAAACCCTCCTGGCCTTCCCCTCACCTTCACCTTCCTTCTGCACTCACCTAAGAAAGGAGACCGTTCTGGACAGTACGGCAGACCTTGAGGAGCCAGAGGGCCACCCGGGGCCCCAGCAGGGGCCCCTGACAGGTGGCTGAGGTTACTGTAGACATCGTGGGGATGAGAATAGTCAAATGTGGGCCCCTGCTCTCGGCCAAATAGGGCGCTGAGACTTCGGAAGCCCCCCAGCGACAGGTACATCATGACGGCCAGCTGGGAGCCCACGAGCAGGGCCAGCGTGCAGGGCCGTTCCAGCAGCCGCCGCAACATCCTGGGCTGAGGTCTGTGAGGAGAGAGGAGAGCTCTGGGCAGGCAGGGGCAGCACAGCAGCAGAGAGCATCATGTAGGGATGGCGGTGGAGTGAAGAGGGAAAACACGCAGAGGACCTGGTCAGCGAGGGAGCACACGGGTGTGCAGTCCTCATGGGGAAGAGACAGGCTGTTGCCACCAGCGGCCCCACCACCTTTCCCAGCCCAGGTCTCACGCTCCAGCTCTCCTACCCGCCCCTGTGCTCTCAGTCCTCACCCTCAGGTTCGCTGCAGAGGAGTCTCTGGAGAACCTCGCTTCCAGTTCAGAGGAAGAGACTCACCTAGGTTCAAGCTGTCTTCTTCCAGATCACGGGGGCCCTGGGGGTCCCGGGGGAGCAGAGATGTGATGCATTATCTAAAACTGGCAATGTCGCAGAGGGCGGTAGGCCAGCGGAGCTCCTGGGACCAGCTGGAACACAAGGGGGCAAGGATGAACTGGCCGCCCGCGGAGAGGCGCAGAAGGGCCGAAGCGGGTTTCCAGCAGGGGACGTGAGGGAAGATGCTGGCTTCTCCCACTGGAGACCCTGGGGTGTCCATTCCACGCTCACCCATCCCGAACCCAACAGAACCAACCTGCTCGGGGAGTGGGGACAGGGCCTCTAATGGAGACAGTATGTCCGCCAGGGGGTGAAGCAGCAGGGACGGCACTGTGGAGTGGTCTCTAGAGAACAGGGTGGAGCAGGAAACGGGCTACTTTCCGCTCTTCACGTGC